GTATCACCCCAGGAGTCCATGTGAGTGAGGAACTGCTCTCTCTTTATGAGTGCAAGTCAATTTTACCACTTCCTGTGCCAGGTCAGTTAGGCTAGTGATTACTTGGGAGTGGGGGATGGTGTAGAGAAAGAAGACAGGTGGACCCAAAGCTCTGCCCAGTCAACACGCACTAGGGTAGGGGGCAGTTTTCTCCCTTTGAAGAAAAAGAAGCAGGATTCAGCACAAATAGGCAGTTAGAGGTGTTACCTCTTTCTCCTCTTCATTGCCACTTTCTTGGTCCTCAGGTGCAAAGTAGCATCTGCATATGTATCTACCTCTTGGGATTGCTCATATGTAACTCATTGCAAATATTTGATACCAACAATTTTAAATAGCCATCTTTCTAGCCAGGGTCTGGTTTTGGCGGAGCCAACAGCAACAGAGACATTCTGGGGTCAGGGTGGGGGAGGGTGTGAACAGATGAGGCAGTGCTCCATATAAAATCATAGCACAGGAAGGGCCCTCAAGAGGTTTCCACCACTCACGGCAGGACTAAATATTGTCTAGACCAATGAAAATATTTTGATGTATTAGCTCAGTTCTGTTCACTCATTGTCAGCTCAGAGAATGATTTTTTCTTTTCCTTATATTAGTCTATTCTGCAGTTGATTGACACTTAAAACATTTAGAAGGCTCTGAACATGTAACGTGCAATCTAAATGCTGTTATTAAGTATAACATGTTTTTGTTAAGTATTATGGTAATCAAAATAGATATTTATAAAAAAGATCCATGTACTTTTAAAAAATTCAGACATCTGAGGCAAGGACAAAAGTTGTTTCTTACAGATCTGGCATACATTTCTAGCTTAAGGGAAATAACAAAAGAATGAGATTTAGAAAATAGAGGTTTTTATTTCACTGAAAAAACTGAGGTTGTAATATAGGAACACTGAGAGGAAAGAGAGTGTTGTGCTTAAAATAGTGAGCAGGACTTAAGATCTGGACTTGATTCCCATTTCCACCATGTTCTTCCAGTGCGGTCTTTAACAAGTCACATAAGTTTTGGCAATGTTGAGCCAAGCAAAGTCTGAGATTTCCCAATTGTTCTCATGCCACATGGATATGAAAAGGGCCTTTCAAAAGTTTTCACAGAAGTCTCATGGGAGGAAGCGTGCAGACAAAGCAAGACAGAATACTCAGCAGGTTAGTGATTTGAGTACTCCCCTAGAAATGAGGAGAGACAGGGTTGAGTCCTTACACAGCCTCATTTGAGAAGGTACAGTAAAACTCCATTAATCCGGCATCCAATGCTCCGGGACTCCTGATGGTCCGGCACCATCAGGAACCCGGAAGTGCTGGGGCAGCTGGACAGGCTTCCCTCATTCAGCTGCTGCTGAAACTGACCAGCAGCTGAATCAGGGAAGCCGGGAGCAGAGCAGCTCTGCCCTGGGCTTCCTGGAATCAGGGAGCAGATGGGGTAGAGCAGATGGGGTCCTGCCGGGTTGGTCCTGCAGCGCCGTCCTTTGGCGCTGCGGGACCAACCCGGCAGCACCCCAGCTGCTCTGCTCCCCGCTTCCCCCCGTCCGCGTGTC